TGTTAACCCTATTCACTTAAAAGTTATGCTTTTATTCAGCTTTGGTGAATTTGAACATTAATGGTCATTGTTTCTGATATTTACTATGCTGTTGATGGTTTTGTGCTTCAGGGTCTGAGGCAATGTTTGCAGATCTTTGCTATTTTCCTGTCCAATCAATACAGGTAATGGATCTAGATAACTTGATTAACAAATCTTCTGGTTCCTGTACATCCTTGTATACGTTATAATGAACGATGAGATTGTTAGTTCACTCCTGAATTTCTTTTATTTGCTGATGGTTGTCTGCAGTTTACATTTGTTTTTCTTGTATTGCCTTGCCTGTTGTTGGGTTATCTGGGTCAAGCAGCGTACCTTATGAATAATCCTAATGGTACCGAGCAGGTTTTCTTTTCTTCAATTCCAAGTAAGTTTTATCATCAATTGGTAATGGGACCACCTAATAGTTGAATTCCATTTTTTTTATTTGCAACAGTCTTGCTTGCCTTCCTCTAAATGAAAAACTTGTGGACTCCATGTAGGTGGTGTGTTTTGGCCAATCTTTCTCATAGCTAATATTGCTGCTTTGATTGCCAGCCGAACTATGACGACTGCCACGTTTTCATGCATAAAGCAGTCAACAGCTCTTGGTTGTTTCCCTCGTCTTAAAATCATTCATACATCTAGAAAGTTCATGGGTCAGATTTATATTCCAGTCATAAACTGGTTTCTGCTGGCAGTTTGCTTGGTTGTTGTGTGCTCTATCTCAAGCATTAACGAGATTGGAAATGCATATGGTAACATTTCTGCTTACTCTCTCTCTCTATATATTTATGTTTATATACTTGTTTACGAACTTTATAACTTTTGTCATGTAACTCAAAAACCTAGGTTCTTTCTGGAATGTAAAGAACTGTTGTGCAACCAGTTTACTGTGGAATAGCTGAAACAATCCGCCTAATTTATCTAAGTTTCCTCATTCTTTTGCTTATGGTTTTCTTTCCTCAGGTATAGCAGAGCTGGGAGTCATGATGATGACCACAGTTTTAGTCACCATTGTCATGCTTCTCATATGGCAGATAAACATCGTAATTGTGCTAAGTTTTGTGATATCTTTCCTGGGTTTGGAATTGACTTTTTTCTCCTCCGTTTTATGGAGTGTGACAGATGGAAGTTGGATAATATTGGTTTTTGCTGTGATAATGTTTCTCATTATGTACTTCTGGAATTATGGTAGCAAGCTTAAGTATGAAACCGAAGTGAAGCAAAAGCTCTCAATGAATTTGATGCGAGAACTGGGCTGCAATCTTGGGACGATCAGAGCTCCTGGCATTGGTTTGCTTTATAATGAGCTGGTAAAAGGAGTACCGGCGATATTTGGCCATTTTCTAACCACGCTCCCTGCTATCCACTCTATGATCATCTTTGTCTGCATAAAGTATGTCCCTGTTCCTGTGGTGCCTCAGAGTGAAAGATTTCTTTTCAGGCGAGTCTGCCCCAAAAGTTACCATATCTTTCGCTGCATTGCCAGGTAAGGTGCTCTGACTGGAAGCTCCAATCTTGTTAGTTTGCCTTATCCAATTCCTTTTCATTTTAGTTGGAACTATCATCATTTCAGATTGAAGTTTTGAAGTGCAATATTCATCGTAGAAACTAACTGGAATGGTAAAAATGACACCTGGACAAGGTGTTGCCAAAATTAAACTGGCAATAACATTGAAAAAAAGAAGAAATTAATCTACTACTCGAAAAAACACTTATGATCAAAGCATATGCACAATTTCTTCGGCTTTTTCAGTTTTCCTCACCTGTTTGCCTATTCTCATGCCCTCTGATGGGGACCAACCACTTTCTCAGGTATGGGTACAAGGATGTCCGTAAAGAAAATCACCAGACATTTGAGCAACTGCTGATTGAGAGTCTTGAAAAGTTCATTCGCCGGGAAGCTCAGGAAAGGCAATTGGAAAGTGATGGCGATGAAGACACAGATTACGAGGAGGATACCCCTTTGTCAAGAGTTCTCATAGCTCCTAATGGAAGTGTTTACTCACTTTCTGTTCCTCTGTTGGCTGAGTTCGAGGGCTCTAGTAATAATCCCATCTCTGAAGCAAGCACTTCAGAGGAGATGAAGGCAGATTTGCCTGCAGATCCACTGATTTCAGATGCAGAGCATGGTCTGGAGAGGGAGCTATCATTCATACGCAAAGCTAAGGAATCTGGAGTTGTGTATCTTCTTGGTCATGGGGATATTAGGGCAAGAAAAGATTCTTGGTTTATAAAGAAACTAGTTATCAATTACTTCTATGCTTTCTTGAGAAAGAATTGCCGAAGGGGTATCGCTAATTTGAGTGTGCCCCACTCGCATCTCATGCAGGTGGGCATGACTTACATGGTTTGATGGTCCATTTGAACAAAAACAAAATAAGGTGCATAGTTTTTATCACTTGGAAAAGGAGCGGTTCAACAAAGGAAGACGACCATTCAGAAAGGGCCTATCTTACTCAAATCGAAGCTGCAATGCGGAGGAGCTCAAATCAGCCGATAGCAGCAAGTCTTCAACCTTTCTCCTGATGGATGCTAGCCCTTTGAATCTGCAAATTTAGTATGGAATGCTTTCATTTTGCTTCGCTGATTAGAAAGTTTTGTAATATTCATGGAGTTGCCTCTACTTCTCGTGTATTGGTTTTTTCGCTGTCAGAAGCAGGCTCATATCATATATCAAATCTTGTTGTAATTGTTCAATTAAGTGACCTAGAAAATATGTAGAGATATATTGCAGTTTCAACACTAATGTTAAATTAGTCATTTTATTAGTGTTGAGCAAGTTTAGGGATGATATAGGAGACCCCTTGGGTGCCTTTTTTTCCCCTTCAGTAATAGGGTTAATGTATTGATACCTTATTGTTGGTGTCAGTACCAGATTGGTCTTATTTAAAAAAAATAGAACAAGAGTAGAAGTTTCGAATTTTGATCATCATGATATATAATATAATGAATAAACTGTAATTAAGTACATGAGGAAAAGATATATATTGCTTTGGGATTTGGAAACAACTTCAACACCATTTATTAGAAAGAGTTAAATGTTCATTTTCTTTTAATTAAATGTTTTATTTTAAAAAAATGTAAATTTATTTCAAGGTATAAATAAAAATTATATTTTTCTTTGTGCCGGACCTAGTTTGGTTGTTAATCTTTTTTGAGCCGTTCATTTTTTTAAAGGAATTCAATTAAGTTATCAAATATTCAATTTTTAATTTTACTTAATTGAAGATAATTTTTTTAAAATATTTTTTAATTTAATTTATATTTATAATTTAATTTTAAATACTTATATTTATCATGTAAGTTTATGAATTTTCATCTCTAAAAATAAAAATTTAGATATAAATTTAGTTGTTGCTCAAAGATTTTTGAACATGAACCTTTAATTTTTTTTAATACACATGGACCTTTAATTAAAAAAAAGAAATGAACAAAAAAAATCCGTTTCTATTAAAATGCATTATGATTTTATTTAAATTGCCGAGATATTTACTTTATTTTTTTAAAAGAATATCATCTACAATTCTAGATAATATTATTATTTATTTAATTTTTTTATTTGACTTTTTTTTACGTAAACAAATAAATTTTAAGGATTTATAAAATTTTCTTTCACCAATATGAAATTTTGACATATAATTTACATTAACTGAAGCATTAATATAAACAAATTCTTTTTAAACAATTCTAATAAAATAATATTAAATTATGTCATTGTACGTATTTGACAAAACGATGCCACAAAGAGATTGCCAAATTAGAATACAGAAAAAAAATCTATTCATTTTTATATAGAATTTTTGACAAGCCTATAAACTCGAAGGATTGAATTGCAAAAAATATAAATAATCCATTAAATTATTTTTCAACAATTCTTTTCTTTCTCAATTTTTTTATAAATGCATGTAGGATTTGTAGAAACATGTAGAAAATAATGACGTCAAACATATTTATTTATATCATATATATATTAGTGTTAAAGATTAAAATTGTTATTACATTAGAACATATTACTATTTTATCTAATATTTAATTATCAATGACAAAAAAAATAACCTATTTGTCATTAAACATGTAATTGAATGACTCTATGTCTATTTTTCCCATAAATTAAATAAAGAGATGTAAATAAAGGGGCTGACTTGTGAACAAAGGGGCTACCATCACCCACTACCCAATTGACCCACAAATCACTTCAAATTTTTAAGGGTAAACTATGCGAATAGTCCCTTTTATTTCTGTCGGATCGATTTTGTCACTAATTTAAAAATTAAGGGTACACGGTCCTTAATGTTACTGAACCGTTTAACATTATCGATCCGTTTGATTTTAGTCCCTTAGTCGTTAACTCCCGTTCGATTTTAGTCCCTCAGTCGTTAACTCTCGTTCGATTTTAGTCCCTCAGTCGTTAACTCCAGTTCGATTTTAGTCCGTCAACTATGTCACATATTTGTTAAGGGTTAACGATAGAGGGACTTAAACTAGACGGACCGATAATGTTAAATATCATTTACTCTTAATTTTTAAAATAGTGACCAAAGTAGGACAAACACTAAACAAAAGGGACTATTCGCAAGTTTACCCAATTTGTAATTATCAGTTTTTCAAACACTAATTAATGGTGATTGACAAAAAAACAATAATTTTACTGATTTCTAAAAGTAAAAAGAATAGAAAAATAGTTGCTTTTAGCCGTATTGAAACTGTAAATTAAAAGGAAAAAATGGGAATTAGTATTAACTGTTCTTCAAATTCCTATATTATATATATATATATATATATCATTATTGCCTTTCGTTTTCCATGATAGTGTCAGTAAACAAAGAAGAAAGAAACCCAAAGCAAAAAAGTCAAAAGGGAAAGCTCTTGCTATTTTTTTTCCTGTGAGACCCAAGTTCTTTTCTTCTATTTCTTTTTTCAACAGTTGATGCTTACTATACTATACTATACTATACAACGTTTGTCGTTATTTTGTATACGTATAATTCTTCCATATGTTTTGTCACCTTTCTATGAGAAAAGAGGATAGAGTCAAAGAATTGGGCAATTCAAGTCTCGTACAGCTGTGGGTTTTTGTTCGTTCGTTCATTATTTTATTTATTTTTGGCTTGAGAATTGGGTGTTTTGGTTGATCAGTAAGGAGAATTCTGAGATACACCTGTCATGATTTTGTGTTTGTACGAGTTTCAGGTTGTTTTCAACTATGTGTTTTGCTGGTTTGATGATCAAGATTGTTTTATTTGTGCAGGTTAAGGAATTCCTGGAAAAAAAAGTCCGATTTCTTTTAGATGTTGAGAAATCTGGAAGGAGATGAATTATATGGATAATCTATGTTGCTTCAACTCTGTCTCTTCTCAGGTTAGCCAATCCAATCCTCTTTGGAAAATCTTTCCCTTTTTTTCTTTCTATATTTAGTTCCTAATTACACTTTTATTTTTTTATATGATCTAAATCTATAATTCATTTTCTACGTTTCTATATATGCTTGGATATCTTTGGTTGGTTGGATAACTTTGATTTTGACAGATTTTGTGTTTGATTTTAATTCAAGTCCATAAGTTAAATTAGTTCATCACCAAAATTTTCTAGGATTGAAAAAGGGAGAATTGAAACAAGAAAAAGAATAATCTATGTGAAATTCAGATTGTTACTTTAAATATAATGTCAGCTTGAAGATGAATCTTCTATTGAAGTGGGGAAATTGCTCCAATTTCTTTCCTAGATCAGATTTGTAGACTCTGCAGAATATTTATTCCTGGCAAATTATGTTTATGATCTTTGTCAAGTGCCTTTTCGAAGCTTCTGATTTTTCGGAACATCGAAAATGTTATTATTCTTCTCCTTAGGTTGCCGGAGGGCGTTCTTCTTGTAGCTCTGGAAAGGGCAGAAGCCATCAGGGCCCTGTCAAGTATGGCTTTACCCTAGTGAAAGGAAAAGCAAATCATCCTATGGAGGATTTTCATGTTGCAAAGTTTGCTCAACTTCAAGGACATGAACTCGGACTTTTTGCTGTATATGATGGCCATCTAGGCGACAGTGTACCTGCCTATTTGCAAAAGAATTTGTTTTCCAATATCTTAAAGGATGTAAGTTTTCGATCAATCGATTATGAATAATATGTTAGTCCTTCCAAGCTTTTGGTTACCACAGTCGAAAGTCTTGTCCTTTATGTATTTGAAAAAGAGTGCGTTTGTTGATATACCAATCCTAAGGTGATTGTTGCCTATGTTATTTATGCGGACCGGGAGGTGGAATGTTTGGTAAATCATAACTCGCCTTTTCCGGAACCAGTGATAACGAACTAAAATGAATGGCAACTGTAAAAAGTTTAGGTTGCTTTGAAATTATGGTTCTATGATTCTACTTCTAATGGTTATGGCTCTCGGGTTACGCTTATTGGTTGTTAGAATATGTCCTTATTGTTTGTGATAATAAATTGTAGGAGGAGTTCTGGACCGATCCCACCACGTCCATCTCTAAAGCTTATGAGAAGACAGACCAGGAAATTCTCTCACACAGTCCTGACCTGGGACGAGGGGGGTCCACGGCTGTCACTGCAATTTTGATTGACGGACAGAAATTATGGGTGGCCAATATTGGAGATTCACGCGCCATTCTCTCGAAGAGTGGGCAGGCAATACAAATGAGTATCGATCATGAGCCCAACACAGAGCGGGGAAGCATTGAGAACAGAGGCGGCTTCGTCTCGAACATGCCAGGTTATTCGTCGACTATTCTTTGCTTCTGTCTAAATTTCTCTTTAAAGGTCATTTTCTTTTTTATAACTGAATGAAAGTAAAGAAGGGCACATTCCGTGGCTGTTAACATGTATGCGTCATGGTCCGCGGCTATGGTAAATTGGAACTTTGGTATATGCATATGACAACTACATGGAGAGTCGGAGATATATTTCTCGAACGCATGCCAGGTTTGAGTGCATCTGTGATGACACTCTAACACACTCCAATTAATGGATTGGAGCCTTAATAAAAAGCACGTTCGACGGAGATTGACAATCTCTCTCGCTCTTTCATGATAATGACTTACCGCTGCTGCATTTTCTCACAGTAATTGTTCTTGTTGCATTTTATCCCAGGAGACGTTGCGAGAGTGAATGGCCAACTTGCTGTTTCCCGTGCTTTTGGCGACAAGAACCTTAAATCACATCTCCGATCTGATCCTGATATACAAAATGCCGATATCAACTTGGATACTGAATTTCTCATCCTTGCAAGTGATGGATTATGGAAGGTAATCCATCTCTTTCTGGAGGCCGAACGATTTCTCGTGTTTCTCTTTTCTCATGCCGAATGATTTTAACGCAGGTCATGTCCAACCAAGACGCAGTCGACATTGTGAAAAAGACCAAGGATCCACAGAGGGCGGCACAACAGCTAGCGAAGGAGGCATTGAACCGAGACAGCAAGGACGATATCTCCTGTATCGTAGTTCGTTTCAAGGGGTGAAAGCAAAACACGAACACGACGGAGAAAACTCTTCCTCGACTGCGCAAGACAAAGAATCAAAGGGGTAAACATCATGCATCAGTTCTCATGAAATGATGCTGTAAATTAACAATATCCGGTACTACTCCTTGTCTCTGTAAAATCGCTTGATTTCTTCCATTTGTAGAGTGATTCCATCATTTTTCTGTATAATTTGCTCTGAAGCCATTGGTTTTCTATAAAACTGCAAAATATTAAGAATATTTCGATGAACTAATTTAACTTTAATAATAAAATAAGATATTTGTTTAAGTTTTCTATTAATTCTAAAGCCCAAGCACCAATTCAGTTGAGACTCTTCTGTGATCTTACTTTGATTGAAGTTTTATAGAACTATGTTTGCTTATATTTGTGTAGTTGGTATAATAATATTTAATATTAATATAGTTATTATTTTATGAATTGTGATCCCGATCAGACCAATCCAAAGATGAAATAAAAAAAAAACAAAATTCAATTGATGTGAAATATTAATAATAACGGTACTATATAGAGAGAGAGAGGACAAACTACATATTTAGCACCTTAACTATTATTATTATTTCGTTTTGGTCATTTAATTATTTTTTTTCAAAATTATACATAATATTATGTTTTGGTCTTATTTTGTTCATCTAACGACAATGTTGATATGACATCATAAATTAATGTCATATTATTATAAAAAATTTATAAATATCACATCAGTAGTTCTATTAATTTTTTAACGATGGTTGATTAAAATAAAACCAAAATACAATATTGTGTAAGATTTTAAAAGAGTTAATTGCATCATATATCCTTAAACTATGATTCTCTTTTTAAATTGGCCCCTAAACTTTTAGATATTCCAATTTTATCCTTAAACTATGACTATCATTCTAAATGTCCTCAAACTTTTGAACATTTTAGTTTCCTCCATCAACTATATCCTTCATTTTAAAGTGTTCCCCAAACTTTTCAACATTTCAATTTCATCCCATATTATATTTATATACTAATCACATTCCATGTTAATAAAACCGTTAGGACAAGCTGTATTATTATATGTTTGAAGAAAAAAATAAATTTTAGGTTAAACTATGGTTAAAGCTAATTACATATTTGGATGAATTTGGGGATGAAATTAAAAGATTTAAAAGTTTGGGGACCAATTTAGAATGAGTACCATAATTTGAGGATAAAATTAGAGTATTCAAAAATTTAGGTGTCAATGTAGAATGAAGATCATAGATTGAGGACATAGATGCGATTAACTCATTTTAAAATAAAAAATAATTAAGTTATCAAAACCGAACGTATAATTTACGCGTGTGTGTGTGTGTATATATTTGTATACGACGAAAGTGAATCCCAGTTCCTTGAAGCGGCGTATCGGATCAAATTCCGGGTTCTGCAGAGATAGAAGCGAAAGTCGCGTTAGTTTTGGAGATCAAATCCCTTGGACTCCGGTATGACTAAACCAATATGATCCTCTTAATTTGTGGCAAAAATTTTCCATCCATTGTTGTCTTTTGCAAATAACTAATGGTTTTTCAGGACGTTATTGAACATCGCCATTTTCAGGCTTTCTTTTTCAAAAAATTTAAGTTGGTTCTCTGGAATTTCGCCCCCGCCCTCAAATGGTACAACGTGTAACTGATGTTCTTCTTTTCTCTTAGTTGTCAAATTTTGAAGTTGAATCTGTTGCCGTCTGGATTGAACATGGAGCAAACTTGACGCCAGAGAATTTGAACTTGGGAATCTGGGTTGATTTCAATTACAAAAGCGCCATGCATCTTTCCAAGTTATCGAAATACTTAAGCTTCACCGCGTCTCGCGATTGGCTCTACCGCTACTCGTTCGGTAAAGCCGGCCTTCGTTCGATCAAGACTGATCTGGGCGAAGGCACCGTCATGCACTGTTGGGTACCCAAAACCCACAATGCGTCAAGGCCCAATATACTTCTGGTTCATGGATTGGTGCCAATGCGATGCGGCAATACGGTGAGCATCTCCGCCACTTCACATCTCGATTAAACGTGTATGTGCCGGACCTTATTTTTTTTTGGCGAATCGTACTCGACGAGAAGGGAGCGGACGGAGTAGTTCCAGGGTCAATCGGTGATGAAACTGATGGAGGCGCAAGGCGTAAGGAGAATGAGCCTGATAGGGATAAGCTATGGTGGGTTCGTAGGGTACAATATGGCGGCACAATTCCAGATAAAATGGAGAAATTGGTGTTGTGCTGCGCTGGGGTTTGCTTGGAAGAGAAGGATTTGGAAGATGGTTTCTTTAATGTTTCGGATCTGGATGAGGCTTTGAGTATATTGTTGCCTCAGACGCCTGAGAAACTGAGGAACTTAATGAAATTTTCCTTCGTCAAGCCCATGCACAAGTGGCTGCCAAGCTTTTTTCTCTCAGATTTCATTGATGTAAGCTTCCCTTTCCCACACTTTCTCTCCCTATATATATATATACATGTATATTTCATCATTGACATATATCATGTTTTGTGTAGGTAATGTGTACAGATTATCTACAAGAGAAAAGAGAGCTGCTGGTGACCACACTAAAAGACAGAAAAATCAGCAACATTCCAAAGAGCACACAGGTTTAAGCTCTTCTTCTTCTTCTTCAACCTCTGCGTGGGTTATTAGTGTTAAATTGATGAGTTTTGTTGTTTCTTCTTAAAGAGCGAATTAATAATATGGGGTGAAGAAGATAAGATATTCCCATTGGAACTTGGCTACAGATTAAAAAGGTATCATTATCATAAATTATAAATGGAGGTGGTGTTTTATTGAGAAATGGTATTGATTTGTGAATGGTGTTGTGTAGGCATGTGGGGGGAAATGCAGAGATTGTAGTGATAAAGAACGCAGAGCATGCAGTAAACTTAGAAAAGTCCAAGGATTTCCTCAAGCACTTAAAATATTTCCTCTTTGAGTCTCAATCACCCAACCCCCTCCCCTTTTTCCTATTTTGGATTCTATATGGTCTTAACTTTTTTTTTATCAAATCAACCCCAACTTTTAATTTACACCTCAACATGAATCATCTTTTCATTTCAACCATGGGTTTCTTTTTGCATATATCTTTTGAAGAAAAGTAACAAGAAAATAAATCAATGCCATCTTCAACCTTGAGCTTTCTTAGAGGGTTTCAATGGTGATTTGGATTTTAGGACATTCTTTGACAAAGTGAAACTTACTCTAGCTTAGAATCTTGGTATAAAAGAGTTTGAAAACAATAGAATTGAGAAAGAACAATTAGAATGAAATTCTTGAAGAAATTTTGGGTGTACTTTTGAAATTTTCAAACATTAAGGAACCCCTTTGAGACTTTATTGCTCCACTTGAAGATTGATGATTTGGATGATTTTGGAGTAGCTTCATTAGTTGTTTAGAGGTATAATTTGAACTTTGGTTAGGAGGAGTTGAATTCTTGAGAATTTCCTAGTTAAGGACTAAATTGATAAAAATAAAAAATAAAAGTAAAAAAGAAAAATAACGTGTCAAGTGAAAATGAAAATAAAATGAAAAAAGACTTTAAAGAAAAATAATATATCTTTTAATATTGTATCATGTGTAAATCATTGATTTGTCTATTAATTTTTTAATATTTTTAAACGTTAAAGGTGAAATTAAAAATGAATGAAACCTTGAGGACTAATCTTATTATTATACCTTTAGTAAATAGAGATTTTTTTTTTTTAAAAAAAAACATACCAGATCAATGTCCAACAGGTTTGAAGGGTTCACGTCAAATACTATCACGAAAACGAGTAAAACTATTAACGTCGACAAATCCTATGTATGAAATTGATAGGAAAAAAAATATATGTATCGTATTGAAGAATCATGTATAATTTATGTACCAAATAGGCAATTTACCCTTAAAAGAACAGAAAACGAGGGGAAATGGTTCTCCTTCACCGTAAAGAGATTACTACTTGGAAGTCGGAATCTAGGAATAGCATTTTCGGTTTAAACAATCACTGCCTGGATTTAAATTAAATTTGTAACAAAAACTCGAATTTCATGCAATTAACATTGTAAATATTTAATTTGGGTAAGCTGTGTCATTACTGAAGTTTAGGTAAGTTCTCATTTTCACCATCAATATTTATAATGTTACAAAATAATCAGTAACATTGTTTTATTTGTAACAAAAACCACGGAGCTGTTAAGAAAAGAACTTCCACTGCTTCTATTTTTATTGCCTTTTCCCTTAAAACCAGCAATCTCAACACTGAATTAAAAGTGGAAGAAGTATGCACCAACATCTGAACGTTGTATGAGTGGAGATATTTCCACGTCGTATGAACAGAGATATCTTGGCATTGTACAAGGTAAGATATGTCAATGTTGTATGAGCATAGATATCTTGCTGCTATAAGAGAGAAGACATCTTAATATTGAAGGAATCTCAATATAGGTTTTTGGATGATGTATCGACAGAGGCATCTCGATGTTATATCAGTAAAGACATCTCGATATAATAAAAACAGAATAAAGATCTGAAAAATACCAAGGCTAGAGCCTTCGGGGATGTAGAGGCTAAGGCTTTAGAGGATGCAGAGGCTAGGCACATTGGAGGTGCCCAGGGCTAGTGCTCCGAAGAGTGTAAAAGGTATGTACTATAGGGTACAAAGGTCGGGGGTGGACAAGCCCACCCTTCTTCCTTGAAATTTTAAAATTATTATATACTTTAATTTTTTCAATATATTTTTTATTAAAAAATTGTTTTATTTCTTTGAAATATTATAAATTCGTCCTTTTTTTTAAAATTTTTGAAGTTCATTCTTTCAGGGTTCGTCCCTGGCAAGGGTTAAGGCTATGAAGTAATGCGACAGTTCGGCACCTTAGAGATGTATAAGGGAATGCTCTAAACAGTGTAAAGAGACTTTTTAGAATACCATATCATGAAATGTTTATGCTCGTATTGCATAGAATCTATAAAGAATGTTATTTTTATTAAGATCTCCGCGATGAACAATAATGGAAAAAAATCTCAAAATGAAAGTAAATATTTTTTTTTGTATAGTATCAAATTTTTTAAATTTTTTATTGAAGGCTGGGTACACACCGGGCATTGATGGAAAATACAAGAGTCAGGAATTCATAATTATTCACTCGGTTGATTTGAATGAAAAAATGTGCATGATGAAGTCAATATTAAATTTGGTGGCCATAGAGAAAAATAAAATAAAAAGAGAGGACCTTAAGCTGAAAGAACAAGATAAACGGTGTCCCTAAGTATATAGGTGTGATAGATGAGATGTTGGATAAGTTATATTAATATCATTTATTATTAGAGATACAATAATTTTCTTTTGTATTTAAATATTGTTTTAGAAGGTATTTTTAATAGAGAAAATAACCTCAGTGACTAAAAATCCCAGATAATATATGATTTTGACCAATTTTTTTTGGATTTGCGAAAATGACCAACAAAATCGCAATGCGATCTCTAATTCGCATTGCGATCTCCACTATCGCAAATTCGCGTTGCGATAGTTGAAAATCGCGTTGCGATTTTCCATTTTGCGTTACGATAGTTGAAAATCGCGTTGCGATTTTCCAATTCGCGTTGCGATTTTCCAAATTCGTTGCGATAGTCTACAGTTGTCGTTGCGATTTTCCAAATTCGTTGTGATAGTAAAAAAAAGATTTTGTTTCTTAACCACCACCACCACCACCACCACGACCACGACCACGACCCGAGACGAGACGGACGGCGGCGGCGCGCTAGAGTCCCCCTTGTTCTCTATCACTCAACAAGGAAGTGGGAAAGCCAAGCCTTAAATACCATTCTCAATAGTGTTTCCAATACTATGTGGGATTGAGCATTACCAACACTTGTTCCAATACAATGTGATTATTCAGGAAACAATTAACAATCATGCACCTTAAAACAACTGAATCAGCAACCAATTGCATTAGTATTATACGATTAATTATGAAAGTCAATCTACAATCAATCGCGATTATTGTAATTTTAAGCAAAACATTCAAAAATAATATCACTATTTAAGGCTCAATCCCACATAGTATTGGGAACAAGTGTTGGTAATGCTTAAATCCCACATAGTATTGGAAACACTATTGGGAATGGTATTTAAGGCTTGGCTTTCCCACTTCCTAATTGAGTGATAGATAACAAGGGGGACTCTCGCGCGCCGCCGCCGCCGCCGTCCGTCTCGTCTCGTGGTCGTGGTCGTGGTCGTGATAATACGTGTCTTCGGCACGTCCGCGCAGATACTATCTTTTTAGAGAAAATTCTTAAGAATCAAAATTTTTTTTTAACTATCGCAACGAAATTGTAGACTACCGCAACGCGAAATGGAAAATCGCAACGCGATTTTCAACTATCGCAACGCGAAATGCAATGCGAATTTACGATAGTGGAGATCGCAATGCGAATTAAAGATCGCATTGTGATTTTGTTGGTCATTTTCGCAAATCAAAAAAAATTGGTCAAAATCGTATATTATCTGAGATTTTTGGTCACTGAGGTTATTTTCTCTTTTTAATATAGTTGGGTAGTTCTGCGGTGCGGCGCCTAAAAACGGCTAATATACGGCGTGACCGGTTAAACAAGTGACCGGTTAAAATTTAGACCGGTTATGTTATATTATTTAACCGGAAATATTATAAAGTACAATAACATACTAGGTAGCGCTTATATAATGTAATAGGTAGCGCTTATATTTATCTATTTTATAAGTAAACCGGTATATTTATACCGATAGCATTGCAAATTTACCTATTACATTATATTATATTGAAAGTGTCCATACTTTTTATAAAAATGATCGATACTTCTTTTAAAGTTATGTAATTTATGTTTCAATTTTTTTTAATAGTGTTTCATGTTTTCCACCTAGAATATTAATTTAATAATTTCATTTGCACAAAAAATTATTTGATTGTTTTGATATTTTATAAAATAATATTTAGAATTTTTAATTTAATAATAATATATATCGTAACGTAAAAAATAAATCATTAGACGCCTATAATTACTAAATTAATATCTTAAAACTCACTCAAAATATAACCTTAAATTAATGTTTTCCACAGTGAAAAAAGTATGGACACTTTTATAAAAAGGATAGATACTTTACAATATAACCACTACCTATTACATTATATAAACGCTACCTATTACATTATATAAGCGCTACCTATTACATCATATTTTTACCTATTATATTGAAAGTGTCCATACTTTTTATAAAAAGGATCGATATTTCTTTTAAAGTTATGTAATTTATGTTTCAATTTTTTTAATAGTATTTCATGTTTTCCACCTACAATATTAATTTAATAATTTCATTTGCACAAAAAATTATTTGATTGTTTTGATATTTTATAAAATATTATTTAGAATTTTTAATTTAATAATAATATATATCGTAACATAAAAAATAAATCATTAAACGCCTATAATTACTAAATTAATATCTTAAAACTCACTCAAAAGATAACCTTAAATTAATGTTTTCCACAGTGAAAAAAGTATGGACACTTTTATAAAAAGGATAGATACTTTACAATATAACCACTACCTATTACATTATATAAACGATACTTATTACATTATATAAGCGCTACCTATTACATCATATTTTTACCTATTATATTGAAAGTGTCCATACTTTTTATAAAAAGGATCGATACTTCTTTTAAAGTTATGTAATTTATGTTTCAATTTTTTTTAATAGTGTTTCATGTTTTCCACCTACAATATTAATTTAATAATTTCATTTGCACAAAAAATTATTTGATTGTATTGATATTTTATAAAATATTATTTAGAATTTTTAATTTAATAATAATATATATCGTAACGTAAAAAATAAATCATTAGACGCCTATAATTACTAAATTAATATCTTAAAACTCACTCAAAGGATAACCTTAAATTAATGTTTTCCACAATGAAAAAAGTATGGACACTTTTATAAAAAGAATAGATACTTTACAATATAACCATTACCTATTGCATTATATAAACGATATCTATTACATTATATAAGCGCTACCTATTACATCATATTTTTACCTATTATATTGAAAGTGTCCATACTTTTTATAAAAAGGATCGATACTTCTTTTAAAGTTATGTAATCTATGTTTCAATTTTTTTAACAGTGTTTCATGTTTTCCACCTACAATATTAATTTAATAATTTCATTTGCACAAAAAATTATTTGATTGTTTTGATATTTTATAAAATAATATTTAGAATTTAAATTTAACAACATTAACCAAAGATAATAATAAATATGTAATATATATGTTTATTGTTTTTAATTTAATAATAATATATACAACATCAAACACATTCCAAGCTATAAATTACAAGCTAAGGACACTTGAATAAGCAAGAGAACAACTATCCAAGCAATCAAAAACGAGAAAATCCCAACATGATAACAACTGAACATATCATATCAATATTCAAACTCAAGTTGTAGATTTTGATTTCCTTTTGCTTGGCATCATATGAGATTTGGATTTTGATTTCCTTTTGCTTGGCACCATATGAGCTTTGGATTTTGATGAGCATCGGAAGTATTTCGGACTTATGATTTGGGTGGTACTCAGAAGCATTTCGGACTTATGATTTTAGTTTCTATTTGTTACATTTCTTGTATACCACCCAGATCATACGCCCGAAACGTTTCTGACGCTTTAAAGTTGACCAAAAAATACAATGGTCGGGATTTTCCTCGCGTTTAAACGTTGGAAAAAAAACAATGGAAATTAGGAATAATCAATGATAACATGCATATTGGCTTGGGCTAATATTTATAGTGGAGCCGAAATATATATTGAAATTCAAACTCAAATTGAAATTTAAATTCAAACTCCAATTACATATGAAATGAATTTGAAATGCAGTGTTAAATTGAACATGAAAATTGCATAATTGATTCATACTGTTCAAGTAACATGCTTTATGAACCATCAAGCTAAAAGACAATATTGATTGAGTTCAAAGCTGAGTTGTGAGTTGATGGAGTTGTCACACTTGTCACATGGTTGGAATAAAGTACTCACATGGAAGAGATAGATTGTTTTGTTATACATAACCCATCTCAACTGAATGAAAATATACATACAATATAATCAAACCAAAACATACATACACAACAAATTTATATATAACAATGTTCAAATAATGTACCCACAAAAACAAAATTAATCCAATGAAAAAGAGTTATTTCTAACAAAGTCCGGAACATTATTTTTCCAAATAATGTACCCATAACAATGTTCAAATAATGTGCCCACAACAATGTTTAATTGATTTGTTGTTTAATTTTCAATTTGAATTATTTGATTTAATAATTTCATTTGCACAAAAAATTATTTGATTGTTTTGATATTTTATAAAATAATATTTAGAATTTTTAATTTAATAATAATATATATCGTAACGTAAAAAATAAATCATTAGACGCCTATAATTACTAAATTAATATCTTAAAACTCACTCAAAAGATAACCTTAAATTAATGTTTTCCACAGTGAAAAAAGTATGGACACTTTTATAAAAAGGATAGATACTTTACAATATAATCACTACCTATTATATTATATAAACGATACCTATTACATTATATAAGCGCTACCTATTACATCATATTTTTACCTATTATATTGAAAGTGTCCATACTTTTTATAAAAAGGATCGATACTTTTTTTAAAAGTTATGTAATTTATGTTTCAATTTTTTTTAAGTATGTTTCATGTTTTCCACCTACAATATTAATTTAATAATTTCATTTACACAAAAAATTATTTGATTGTTTTGATATTTTATAAAATAATATTTAGAATTTAAATTTAACAACATTAACCAAAGATAATAATAAATATGTAATATATATGTT